TTCCGTCCCCAGTGCAGTTCTTCAGCTTTTCTGAACAGATTATTCTAAACTGTTCAAAGATGTAGTATTTGCATTAATATCATCAGAATGCTGGGGGTTATGACCAAACTCTTTGCCCGAGGCGGGGATCGAACCCACTCCTTTACAGCTTTCCGAGCAGTTGTGCTATGGATTATACCACCGGAACACTCCTTCCCGTAGCCCAGCCATCAGAGATAAGTAAAACTTGTAAGAGTCAAATGGCTGACATTAAATATAACGGAAATTGAAGAGTACGTCCACGATAGCAAGGTGCCCCAGGGACAAAAAACGAAGTAAAATACTGGCTCAGAAAGTGCAGGCACATTGAAGAGGAAAGAGACGACGAGGAGGTGAGGGAGCTCGAGGACGAGCAAGACTACAGACACCAGCGAAACACAGTAAACATAAATTTTAGGTTTGAACGGCTAATGTGAGTTCGTTGGCCCATCAGAGAAGCCCTTAACGTCCCTAGGCTTCACTTCAAGGGCGCAAAATTGTCAAAAACCTCAGGGCTGCGAGCCACTCCACCTCCTTCCCCACGGAAAATCCGAGTACTTCATCGTGGAATGTGCCTTTAATACTCACTCATAATTTGGTTTGTACCACCCGCTATCTTCCAGAAGCGCCAGCGTCATACGTGAATACACTGGATTCTGTGTGTGCGTTCCCGTCATGGCCTCATTCTGGAACACTTTTATTTTGGAATATTTTCAGAATTTTCTTTATAAATTTGAAATGACAATAGCAAGTCAAGTGCTTAGTAGCTAAGAAAAAGGGATAAACTGCCAAAAAACATACCTCAAATACCCGTTTCTCCCAATGAGTGAGTGCCGTACCGTCTCCGCCCTGATTCTCGAGCTCTGCACCCTCGAGGCTGTCACAAGCGAAATGCCGACGAACTTCGTCGACTACCCGTGGTGTGACCATCATATGCACCGGATGTATGACCTATGAATATCAATTGATAATTTGTATGTGAAATGGGAACCTCTGTTGCCAGTTTTCACACTGAAGATGGAGAAGCAGCTGGTGGCTGGGGTGAGCCTCCCCTTTGACCTGGACTAGGCCGATGTCAGACTTTGCGAATCGCGCGATTCGCTAGCGTCTGCGGTCGCGTCGCGGCCAGTGAATCACTCAATTGGCTGGTACCGCAACGCGACCGCGGACGCTAGCGAATCGCGCGATTCGCAAAGTCTGACATCGGCCTAAACTTTGCATAGGGTAACCCCTATTTGAAAAGATCATTTATGTGACAGATAGTGCCTAAGGTCGTCGAACATTCTAATTAATAATTCAATGGTATTTGTGAATTCTAACAAAAGTGAGATGCGCGGCGAATTCGAAAGGTGCTGGTTCACGTAATTATGGCTTCGAGCCTGTCGAGAATGTAGTCGTGTTGCGACCGCACGTACTCAAAGAAGGGCTACAATGACTGAGAGGGGATGATTATGATGACTTCGTTGGACGTCGCTGGAACTGTTCTTGGGAATTGGTTCAATAATACCGTCCAGAAAGTGAGACGTCTGATCCACCAGTGACGCCCAATAACGTCATCTAAACCGCTCCGCCTCCTAGTCACACATCCACTAGCTTTGAAAAGATGCAGCAGTTCCATTTATGAAAAAGTGGCTGAACTCTTAAAAACCTATTGTGTGGTGAACTACTGTATTTCATGTGGTTTGTCTCATAAATCGCGCATAGGCCGATGACAGACTTCGCGAATCGAGCGATCACTGGCCGCGACGCGACCGCGGACGCTCGCGGATTGCTCATTCGCGAACTCTAACACCGGCCATAGTGACCACCGCCGATCTACATTCGAGGGTATGGTAGAGTTGATGATGCTTACCTTGCCCTCGCCTGTCCACCAATCGTCTCGTAGCACCGTCGTAATAGTATTGCGATCCCAGTCGTAGTATCCAAACTCTTTATTGAATGAGATCGGCTTACCATAACGATTCCTGAATGGCTTATGGTTCTTCTTTAGTGTATAACTTTTAGTTCTCATTTAGTCGGGCGTATGAACATTTCAACATTTAGAACAAGTTTTGGAAGGCCTCTTTTGGACGCTTCGAATGCTAGAAAATCGCCTGAGTAAGGCTCACCAAATAGGGTATACCAAGGTGTCTGGATGAGGAACATCTGGTAATTTTCCTACCTTTTTGTACGTGGTTTTCCGTTTTCGTCGCGAAAGAAGGCGTAAAGGCCGACGCTGAAACCGAGCGCGTGTAGAATCTCGTGTTTTACCGTGGAGAAGAGAATCTCCGATCGTGACGAACGAGTGTAGTGCGACAGAGCCGAAGGGCACAGATTCACATAGCCCGCTACCGGCCTGCAATACATAAAGTCACTCCTACATACTTGGATTGTACTCAACCAGTTGGTAGCTTGGTCCAACCGTAAGCCTATGGCCTGTGCCAGACTTTGTTAATCGAGCGGGTCGCTAGTAGCGAATCGCTCGATTCATAAAGTCTGACAACAGCCTTCCTCTGAACGGGTACGGTCCGTGTGTGAAAACTGAGGATAAACCAGGAGGCTCTAATCGCCCGTCTGATGTGGTAACTACAAATTACGAAACCAAAGAAAGAACATTCCATCCGGGATTCCACGGTTGTCAGGTGCCATGCATTCAGTTCTCATTTAGGTTCTATACGTAACATATGCGAGCCTTACTTACATAGTGTGAATTCACATAAAGGATAAAGGATAAAGCATTTGCCGTTGATCAATCCCTTTTTGGGATGCGGCACGCATTCTACTTCCATTTGTACATTCGTAGTGGCGTTTGAATGCGATGTGGCCTATACAATGACTTGCGGGGGCCAGCCGATGTCCAGTTATTTGCCAAAATCTGAGAGGTGGGTCTCTAAACTTTATTATGGTCCTGTCAGTATTTAAATGGGCCGAAAAAGTACGGAAGGTTAACGAAGTAGTGGAATCGATCTAGCTACTGTGATAGCGAAGATTATGCGAACGACAACAGTGCTACCGTAACCAGCGAAGGAAGGAACAATCTTGAATTACCCAGAAATCTCAGAGATTAGTGACCGAGTGATAGTCTACACCTCATCGAACTTCCAGGCGGGTTGAAGCAAAAGGTTACTTACGTAGTTTCCACCTTTCGCCTGTGTTTATGTTTCTGGAGAGAAAGCAAAAAGAATGATTTACAAGAATGCTGCGTTGTGAGCAAAACTGACGCCCCAGGCGGAACTCGAACCCGCACCTCTTGCTTACCGGGCCAGTGTTTCATTAACAAACAAAAATAAGTTGAGAAGAGAAACTTGGAAGCTTTATATCCCAAGAAGTGAAAGTTTTCAAATTTCTGTAAAAACTCGACCGCCCTTCTTTATATTGATTTTGAGGGTTTATTAGAAGTAAACACGTAAACAAAAATCATAAAATAAAAGATCACACAATGATATAAGCAGTACCTATCGAGCAGCGCTTCTTGCTGACAATGAGCCGCATAGGCGAGCGTATCTACGCTGTCACAGCGCTTGGTAGAGATCGCTGTCACGTACAGTATGAAATCGGCGTCTCTACAAACGGAATATTATCAATAACTCCAGACTAGAGAAATATAAAGCTTGTCACAAATTCAGTGGATCTTTTTGGAAAAAAGGGGCTCTGTCAAAGCTGTGAACAACAGCGAGGGCAGAATTGTGCGAGATTTTCAAATTCCCTTGGGCTGGTGTCAGAGTGCGCGATCCGTCGAGCGATTCGCGCGATGCGCGCGACGGTTCGCTGACTCTGGCATTAGCTTTAATGTTTTGTGAGGGTAGAGAATCTCAGTACTCACTCAAGTCGCCGACTAACTATAACCCTCACGGTTCAACTTTGGAAAAGCTGAACAAATACAATTTTCAGTTAACTTCGTTCCAATTAATAATACTCATAGCGAAAAGAAAACCCACTTCACACCCTCTCCTTGTTCGCCCGATGTATAACAATCATCCGAAGTCAGGCAGTACGAGCATTGCTAAAACGACAAGTAGATTTGGAACAGTTAAAGGGGGAAATAAGACATTTTAGTAAGAACGGTACTGGACCAAGCTGACTAGAAAACTTAAAAAAGCTCGAATAGTGCAATCTAAGTGGAGAAAAGCCAAATCAGAGGATGTCCTTATTCAGGATGGGCGTCGCATCCACTAGTATCTCCCTTTTCAAAGAGCTATTCACCCCAATTTTAAGCGTTAGAGAAAAAATGAAGGATCAGAATGGATCAATTCTTTTTTGGAATGCTCCACGAGCATTTTATTACTTCCTATCCAGAATGTTCAAAAACAATATTTAGCGTAAGCGTCAGACGAAAATCATAAGCGTTACTTGAAGAAGTGAAAGGTTTAATAAAAGCAAAAACGCAACTTACTAGCAGGATATCGTAAATAGAACAACTACCCCCCTCCCCCTCCCCACGAAATCACTACAGTACGCGCTGCGACTCGTTCGCTGACTGTGCCTTGTTGCCGCGCGACGGGCCTCCTGTCGGGTACCCCTTTCCCCTGAGTGCGTTTCAGGGGAAAAGGGTACCCGACATAATCTAGAGTCTAGAGTAATGGACAATGATCAATGGCACAACGTTTTTTTTATCTGTTTCGTCCTTTTCTTGAAAAATTCGCCCCGGTTCGCGCATGTACTGCCTACTCCCCAACAGTGTGCACACTCTTAGTGGCACATCTGCGCCCCGGCGGCAAGATACAGGGGAACGGCGTGTGTGAAGATTCAACGATACACACTTATGTTTCCAAGTTGTTATCTAACAAATGAGCTCAATTCCAGGCCAGTCAACCAGCCAACCCAAAAATAAGTCCAACTCCAAAAAAACCTTACCAGCAAATGTTCCGCAGGTATGATGGTTTCACCGCAATTTGTCTCCGCTCGACAACCTCGATCACAAGCCACGGTTTTCTTTTCATTACGGTAGTAATAAAACGATGAAGTGCATTTTCTAAAGAATATATGTTGTGAAAAATGCGAAAATTCGACAGTAAAAATATTGAAAACAAGTTATTCCTAGAAAAAATGTAAAAGTACCGGCGAAGGCGTATTGGCGCTTCAGTGCGTGCCACACGAAGCACGTCCTCCCAGTAGCCGGCAGCCTCGGGCAAAAGCGAACTCTAAACGGAAAAATTTTAATAGTGTTTAAAAGATGAAGAAAAGGAAGTGGTTAGCATCGGCCAATTTTGGAATGCGCCACACATCGAATGTATTCAGGATTGTGGTGGTATTTGAATGCGCATTCAGCCTCAGCAAAGTCTCGAAGCCGATCGGTGAGATTACATCAAGGTTTCTAAGTGGTTTCAATCTGTAACTTTACAGCGATGCGAGATCAGAGTCGAGTTCATAAGTGACCCGGCTCTAGGATATACGGCGGTTCTACTTACTACTGTCCACCTACGATCGTGTATTCAAATTTATAGTTCAAGGTAATGGCAGAGGTAAGTAAGGTTTCATTCAGGTAACGCCCACTTTCTGAGATGGTTCCTGTAATCCTTCAAATAGGGACCTGGATAATTGATTGAGTTATGAAATCACTAGTAGCAGGTAGCACAATGTGGAGATTAAATAACAAGCCCAATTTCAAGCAGTACTCCCCTTGCTCTTCAGTTTTGCTCATCAGTCCGACTACGGTATGATCTACAATGTTTACACCCTCCGCCGATCCCTCCACTAGCAGTCTGACCTCTCCCTCACGACTCACGCTCTCTCACCTTTTTACCAGTCCCTCGAATTCAACAGAATGCGCACTTTTTTGATCAGGACAACGACAGTAGATCGAGATCAGATAAAATCTGCAGATCAGGGACGGAAGTTTGAGAGTTCCTTACACAATCTTTCCAAGCTACGGTTGGAGCTCTCAACAGCAACTGGACAAATATTTTTCCCACACGGTCAATCATAATGGAACTATTCCAAGGACGCAGATACAGAGGACGGTTTCGACCAAAAAATCAAAGAGGAGCGGAGAGTGAAACTTCGCGAAAAATACGACTATGAAATAGAAGATGCAAAAGATGAGGATCGCCGCCCTTGGATTCGTAGGATGGTTGTCTCTTTGCCATCTGCGCTAGACTTTTTCTGAAGAGTGTACTCAGAAGGTGTGTAATCGAGTCCTGAGACGGGACCATGCTCCTACTTTCACGACTTTGAGTACTCCGTACTGTATACTCTTAATCAATTACTTAGGATCGGATGCCATCACTAGGACAAGATGGACAAACCTTTTTCTTCAGGGATCATTTAGGTCCCTAACCGCGGTTGTTGTTATTCAGACTCCGACCGCCCACCGCTGCGTCCATTTCCGCCCACGCGCTCCCCTCGGCAGCCCCCTGTCTCTGTCTCTCTGACTGTCTGTTATTACAACTCAGCGACTGCAATCGCGATGGTAGTCGCGCAAAAGGGGCGAGACGCGGCTCTAGCGCGATGTCAGAATAGCGCGTGAGGCGTGTCGTTATGGTTTGCGTTTGGACTCCCCTCGACACTCGCGATTCTGACGCAATGCTTGAATGGCGCTTCGCCTCACTCGCGGCTCTGGCATCACGCCACCATCGCGCCATGCCCCAATCGCAGCTTCGGCTCACGCCAACATTATGCTCCGCACACACGCGATTGCAATCGTGAAGCTGGCACCCTACCAACGTAGCCAACACCTATCTAAAACTTGACCAGAACGTCGCAGAAATGGAGCTAGTTAGCAAAGTTCTCGTCATTGTATTAATCTTCACAGTTCCTTACCCCAGCGAAAATTCTACCCCATTAGGAGAGTTCTCTACTCTAAAAACTCCTAACTCTAAAAAACTTACATTTACAAACAGCTGTTTTTCTGTGGGCAAATTCAGCACCGATTCGTCATAGTGCAGGTAGATCCGAAGTGGTTCGAACACCGTCGACGATTTCGGGGATCGTCGGGTTCGGACCAGGTTCAATCGGCACTTCAAGGAGGACGTCCTCAGCACGGGGATTCTGGAACGAGGCGGATTCTTATTCAGAGTTTTCTTAGTGAAAACACTATACTTCCATACTTATGCTGAAAATAGCATGGCAGCCCAGATTTTCTTCTATATAAGTGAAAAAAACTACTGTCTGATTTATTTCACAGGACCCCAGGAAGAATTCATTCCGAAGTTCAGAGGTAGATCCCATGCTAAATTCACCTCATAACCATGCAGCTGAAAAGATACTCGAGAGGAAGTCACACTTCAACTAGGAATGGGGCCTATTTGAGCTTTTGAAGGAGGGTCTTATTCTGGCTTTTGCATGACTGTGATGGTGGGAGGGGGAGGGGTCGTATTTGAACTTTTTCGAGAGGGAGTAATAGTGGAAGTTGGAGGCTCGAATTGTACTAGGGTGAGAAACGAGGTCGTCTTGAAGGGTTTTTCGACGAATTTGGCGGAAACTTCAGTAGCGAGGCGTGGAATAGAGAAAGATAGGAAAGAAAAAAGAATAGAAAAGGTGAAAAATAGAAAGGTAGGTAGAAAATAGGGAAGAGCATCCGCCGTTGCTACTAGGAGGCTAAAAGTTGATGTGGAAGGACATTCAAGGACAAAGTGGTGATGGGAAGCCGAGCTCAGGCCTTCCTCCTAGAGGTAGGACATCAAAATTTGTAAACTCGGCCGAATCGGGCGGTTGACCCTGGAACGGAGCAAGGGGAAGCGATATTTGGCATGGTTGCGCTGAAACCTGCTCGGAAACAACTCTATTAGGCCAGGAACATGGCATGCTTCCTCTGTTAACCCTGCCTTCCAGTCATCAGGGACAAGACTGTGGTCTCCCTTTTCTCTGTGCTCTCTGTT